CAGTTGGCTTCATCTTTAAACAAAGATATTCTGATAGTGCCCTAGATTTGATGTTTGCCTGGATGCTATTTCCTAATGTTAGCATAGTTTGATATATTAAGGATGAGGTTTTAAAAAGCAAGTCCTGACTCCTTTTTGTTTAGGAACCCTTCCTTAGCCTATTTCTCTCCTTTCCTGCTTTAAGCAGAAAGAAATCAAGCAAGAGTTTTAACATTTTGCTTGAAAATTTCTTTTTCTACTTCTCACATTATTGCAGGTGACAGTGTTGCTAAACTTTCTACCACTATACAATGATTCCCTTTTTTCCATTTTCCAATGTGGTTTTCTTCATTTTCATTTATGCCCTCACCAGCAGTCTCCTCAACAGCTTAACATTAAATTTCCACCTACTGTCCACATTCAAAGGCTATCTCACATTTTAAAGTATTTGTTATGGCAGCACTCCATTTATGGGAACAAAATCTGTATAGGTAACAAACTGCCTCCAAACTTAAGACTTAAAATAATACTTATTCTTTTACAGTTTCTGTAGGTCGGGAACTCAGAAACAGTTGAACTAGGTGGTTCTGGCTCATAATCAAGACATCAGCCATGGCTGTAGTCCTCTGATATCTCGTTTGGGGGGTAAAGAACCTGCTCCCTGGATGAATCAGTAACAGCAATGTTATTTTCACAGTGGTTCAATTCCTCACCACATGGGTGTCTGCACAGGATTGCTTAAGTGTCATGACATGGCAGTTGGCATCCTCCAGTACAGGTGATCCAAGAAAGCCAGAAAGAAGCTGCAATGTCTTTTATGATCTACCCTTGGAAGTCTCACGCTGTCATTTCCACAATATTCTCATTGTTAATAAACAACTAAGTATAGCGCACACTCAAGGGGAAAAGAACTAGATTCTACCGAAAGGAATATAATTTAAGAATCTATTTTTAAAACACCACAGTATGTAAAAACCAAGAATTAAAACTTGATGTAAAAATTGCTCTTAGTCAAATTACACTTAAACGGAAGCCTATCTCTAGTGACACTGCCTATTTTCTACTTTATTATGAAAATAAAAATTAAGCAAGTACTTTAAGTTTCTAATCAAGCTAAAATATAAATAACTCTTTAGGGGTGTGTGTATGTGAGAAACCTGCTGGATAGAGGACACTAGAGTTCCTTACTAGGAAGTAGATTCCCAAGGAGCTAACAACAGAATAACTACACTTGCTGTTTTTGTTATGCAGAAATCCTCTTTACTACCTTTTTACTATTTTGTCTGTCTCTCTGATAAATTATTTCTCATATTTCCCCATTTTTTTTACTCAATACTAAAGTCCTGACTTTTTACAGTACCAGTAGTAATACAATAATGAAAACAGAGAACAGTTTTTATAAAATCTATTCATTGCTACAGGCAGTCTTACAATTACAACCTGCAGCAGTTTTTCTTTTACGTAAGATTATATACAGAAATGAAATAAAACTGAATCAGAAGAATATTAAAATGAACAGCCATGATGTAGGAGATGATGTAGGTATGTGAAAAGTCTTTTTAAGTTGAATTTTAACCAAATTTTCTTTATTTAATCATAACAAGCAATTCAGAAAATGTTTCCCTACTTCGAGTCCCATATTTTGATTGACACCAGAACAAAACGGAAAAGACTTAACTAAAAAATATATTTATTTTATTACTTTTTTCTTATACCTAAATAATTACAACTCACTGCATTTTTTGAGAAATAATTAACCATCAATAAAATAAACAGATTCATATATTTAAACACAAATAGGAACACTTTAATGCACAATAGAGGAATTGGTAATGAGAATACATCTACTGAAAACAATTGTGTAAAACAACATCATTAAAAATTACAAACTTGAAAAAATACTAAAAGGCACAAGAAATATAATGATACGTTATAATAGTATGTGTGAATGCATTTATGTGTACAGAAAAAAACTCAAAGGCTCTTTTTAATGTATAGTGGTTATCATGGGTGGCAGCATTATTTATGATTTTTTCTTTAGACTTTGTTACATCCTTCAAATTTTTCTAAAGTAAAATTTCTACTTTCTGGTAATAAATGTACATAAAATTCTTGCCATATCTTTAGGTCACAACTATTTTTAAAATAATATGAATAATTAATTTAAGGTCTATATACAAATATGGGTTCTTTTACTGTTGTCTATATTTTTCAAGTTTGCTGCTTTAGAATTAATATTTTTAGGGTAACAGTACTAAAAAGTACTACAAAGAAAGCCAGAGAGCTCAGAATCCCACAATCCAAAAGTAACCAACAAAAATATTTAACATTTTAACTGAGTAATGCTGCTAACACTGTATGATTTTGTCTGTTTTCATTACTCAATGTTACAAGTAAACTAATAAAAATTTTAATGGTTACATGACAATATCAAATGATAGACGTATCTTAATTCAACCACTCTTATTCTTTTTAGATAGCTTATTTTTTATTGTTCATTTTATACGAACACATCTCAAAATCTCTGTTTAAAAAATATTTGTGCATCTCTATTCCCTTACTATGGATTACTGGAACTTGATTCACTGAATCAACAGGCATGAATATTTCTTCTTTTTAGGACTTTCAATATATATCATCGAACTACTTTCTAGAAATAACCTATCAATCTACAGTTTCTTCAGCAGGATATCAACCTGTCAATCTAACAGACAGACACAATATGGGGAAGTAACAATTTTTAAATCTTTGGTCATTTGGTAATGAAAAAATACAACAGAATAACTACACTTGCTGTTTTTGTTATGCAGAAATCCTCTTTACTACCTTTTTACTATTTTGTCTGTCTCTCTGATAAATTATTTCTCATATTTCCCCATTTTTTTTACTCAATACTAAAGTCCTGACTTTTTACAGTACCAGTAGTAATACAATAATGAAAACAGAGAACAGTTTTTATAAAATCTATTCATTGCTACAGGCAGTCTTACAATTACAACCTGCAGCAGTTTTTCTTTTACGTAAGATTATATACAGAAATGAAATAAAACTGAATCAGAAGAATATTAAAATGAACAGCCATGATGTAGGAGATGATGTAGGTATGTGAAAAGTCTTTTTAAGTTGAATTTTAACCAAATTTTCTTTATTTAATCATAACAAGCAATTCAGAAAATGTTTCCCTACTTCGAGTCCCATATTTTGATTGACACCAGAACAAAACGGAAAAGACTTAACTAAAAAATATATTTATTTTATTACTTTTTTCTTATACCTAAATAATTACAACTCACTGCATTTTTTGAGAAATAATTAACCATCAATAAAATAAACAGATTCATATATTTAAACACAAATAGGAACACTTTAATGCACAATAGAGGAATTGGTAATGAGAATACATCTACTGAAAACAATTGTGTAAAACAACATCATTAAAAATTACAAACTTGAAAAAATACTAAAAGGCACAAGAAATATAATGATACGTTATAATAGTATGTGTGAATGCATTTATGTGTACAGAAAAAAACTCAAAGGCTCTTTTTAATGTATAGTGGTTATCATGGGTGGCAGCATTATTTATGATTTTTTCTTTAGACTTTGTTACATCCTTCAAATTTTTCTAAAGTAAAATTTCTACTTTCTGGTAATAAATGTACATAAAATTCTTGCCATATCTTTAGGTCACAACTATTTTTAAAATAATATGAATAATTAATTTAAGGTCTATATACAAATATGGGTTCTTTTACTGTTGTCTATATTTTTCAAGTTTGCTGCTTTAGAATTAATATTTTTAGGGTAACAGTACTAAAAAGTACTACAAAGAAAGCCAGAGAGCTCAGAATCCCACAATCCAAAAGTAACCAACAAAAATATTTAACATTTTAACTGAGTAATGCTGCTAACACTGTATGATTTTGTCTGTTTTCATTACTCAATGTTACAAGTAAACTAATAAAAATTTTAATGGTTACATGACAATATCAAATGATAGACGTATCTTAATTCAACCACTCTTATTCTTTTTAGATAGCTTATTTTTTATTGTTCATTTTATACGAACACATCTCAAAATCTCTGTTTAAAAAATATTTGTGCATCTCTATTCCCTTACTATGGATTACTGGAACTTGATTCACTGAATCAACAGGCATGAATATTTCTTCTTTTTAGGACTTTCAATATATATCATCGAACTACTTTCTAGAAATAACCTATCAATCTACAGTTTCTTCAGCAGGATATCAACCTGTCAATCTAACAGACAGACACAATATGGGGAAGTAACAATTTTTAAATCTTTGGTCATTTGGTAATGAAAAAATTTTTAATTTACACTACCAGTAAGATAGGGAGAAAGATGCTTTTATTTTCTATTTTCAATTCCTTTCCTGTGAATTTTTTATACAAGTACCCTCCCTGTGAGATGGGGTATCTGTGATGGTTTACTGTATCTGTCAACTTGGCAAGGCTAGATGATGAGCTGTTTGGTCAAACAGCAGTCTAAATGTTGTTGTGAAGGTAACTTTCAGATGTGACTAACATTTAAATCAGTAGATTCTGCATAAAGGAGATGACCCTCACAAAGTGGTAGGCCTCATTATGAAAAGACTTCAAGAGAAGACCCACCCTCACAAAGTGGTAGGCCTCATTATGAAAAGACTTCAAGAGAAGACTGAGATCTTCCAAAGAGGAAGAAAGTCTGCCCTGAGAGTGTCTTCTAACTCAAGACTAAAACATCAGCTTCTGCCAGAATGTCCAGCATGCCTGCCTACTTGAGGATTTTTGGATTTGCCAGCCCCCACAATCACATGAGCCAATTTCTTAAACAAAAAATAAAAAAAGAGAAACTCAAACCAAACCAAACCATCTCCCTACACGTTGTTTCTCTGTATGACCTGACAAATACGGTGCCTCAGAAATTTCTTAAAAATGTGTATGAGTTGTTTATGAAAGCTAGTGACTTCCACCACATTCTTTATGTTTAGAAATTCCTTTTAAGCTAAGATACTTACTTGTAAGTCATCTTCTGCTCCTTCAGCTTCATTTTTAAATGTTGGGCATCCTAAGAAAACAGGTAAAAGTCAAATAACCATATGATTTTTTATATTATTTTAGTATTATTGATATTAAATAGCAATAAGTTGATAGTTCATTATATTTTATAATACTGTAGAAGACTGATCAGAGATTATTCTGGGCTTCCTGGCAACGAGTCAGATATTGGCCTCCCCCACTTGCCCCTTTGTTAGAACAGAGAATAAAGTGATTGTTTTCCTCTTCTACAGGTAAATTCCCAGTTACTTACTGAAGAGATGTTTTCTGTGAAAAGTGTTATTATGTGTAATACAGACCCTGCCCTGGATTTTTCCAAAATACACTGCTGTGCCAAGTATGTGCACCACATTCTTCTGGTGTTTAGGTGATGCCCACATATGGCTTATATAATTTTCTAAATATTTTGACCCATGAAACTATATCTATACCCAAAACTAGGATTATAGTTGCTTTAGTTAAGAAATAAAACAAATAGCCTAATCCACTATTGACAGCCAATGGCCAATTGTTGCTACTCACTTTGTGAATCAATGTCTCTGTGTAAGTTTTCATGGTATCTGAGAGTGCCTTTAGTTCCAAAAAATTAAAAGGAGGGTTTTTTCCCTAGCAAAGTATTGTGAGTTTATTCTATCCTTGAGAGACATAGCTAACATGTAGAAGAGGAGAAATTTGCCTTTTGGAAAGAGCTGAATAGTTTGTTCTAATTGTCATAGAAGGCTGTAAGATAAATTAAATGGGATTTTTGAAAGTCTATATAAGTGGCTGATAATAATGCTAACAAGTATGTTTTAAAAAATGTTAAAAAATAACAAGATAGGCTGAGCACTATAGTGTATTCTACCACCTAGTACTCTGTAAGCTCCTCCTTCTATATTGTCTTTTAAAACAATAAACATAACCAATTTGATCATAGTGAAATAAGTATGCTCTTATGGGGATGTAAGTGTGCACTTAAAAGTAATTCACAACTTTAAATAATCATTAAATTTCCAGGAGCCATGAATAATGATTTTCTTTTCAAAGCACTGGTTCTTCAACATTAGCTAAATATAAGAATCAAGTGGGGAATTTTTAAAAATATACTGGTGCTAGAGTATACTCCTAAACCAGTATCTAAATCTTTTTCTGTGGGGTGGGGCATAGGGCATCATTTTTAAAATTCTAGGTTTCTCATTATCACTGCATTTCTTCTAATTTTCCTATTAAAATGCTACCTTCAAAATATACAAATCCCAATGCCAATACGTTTTTGATTCACTTGATTTACACAGAATGTTATTTTTATTGATAGAGATAATCTTCCCTCTTAATTAGAAAAACAAATCGAGTTTTAGTTACGGCTTCTTTTATGGGGAAGAAACAGGTTTTAATGTAATTTTTTTGTTTAATTAAGCAGGGCCAGTCTTACATGTAAATATATTCTTTCTCCCTTTAATACCTGCAAGCTTTAGAGTTATTCATCCTAACAGGTTGACAAGCTAATACAAAGGGACAGATGGGGTTGTAGTCTCTGCCAATCCTCCATAATGAAATGAGGTAAAGAGTTAAGGAGTTTGTCTTGGAATAACTGGAGTCTGCATATACTTAATGATTAGAAATTTTCTTTGTCATTAGCAAAATAAGGATATGACTGATATAACATAACATACCCACAAGGATTCTTAAAGCTCTACTTGACTGCTCCCCTCCTCTTTAAGTTCTTATTTTAAAACAATGGAATTATCTGAAGGCTGATGTTGATGGGCTCTTCATAGTATACGTAATTGGTATTATTGTGATGCAACAAATATGAGAGACTAAGTAACTGCTCATATAGTATTTTCACCTACAGTAAGCTTTCAAAACCTGATTAAACATCACAAAAGCTGGCTTACTTAAAGTTCCTCTACTCTATTGTGTATAACTGATAAACAAATTTAGAAAATAATCAAGAAAACCTACCTTGAGAAATATCCTCTATTGCTCTTCGAATACCCCTGTCAAAGGCCCTAGCATCAGCAGGACTTTGAAAGGTAAGGCCAAATTTCTTGTCATCAATCTTCCAGTGGTGAAATGTTGGAGTGACCTTATTATAAATAAGGTCTTTTTTAAGCATACATTCCAAAACCACCTGCCAAAAGTTAAATGCAAAAAATTACTATACACATATCAAATGCACCTAATGTAGCTCTTAAATACAAACTGAGGTGAGAAAAGAACTATTATATTTTAGTAAGTACATTTTCCCCCTATTAATATGGAGGTCTTGCTACTTAATCTACTTTCACAAAGTCACTCAAATACAGAAATTAGATGGGACTAAAGAGGATTCTGGGGAGAAATAAGAAATAAGCACCAGGAATCTTTTTCTCTACCTAGACAACAACTGCACACAGAATTTGTCTGATGTAACTATGCTAGAACTCTGGACTCTGCAGAAGGCTTGTAACTTCTAGGGGATGACATGGACAGTAAAATGCAATTAATTTTGGTCAATTTCAGCTATTCACACACTAGCAGCTACCCAAATCCCACTCCTAGCTACATTACAGGGAATTGTGTACATGTTTCAGGAGCGGCTTGTCAGCAAATTATGGAAGCCAGGGTGGGTAAAAAGGACCCTATCCTCGAAATGTCAGAGATCTGTGTTCAGATTATTGATTGCTGCTTCTGATAAGAAAGGTGCAGACAAAGAGGAGGGTAGCGATTGTTCTTGTACCTTCCCTAATTGTTTCAAGTCCCTTCCATCAGAATAAAATGACTTACAAAATATTTATCCAGCCACCCTTTTAATCTGTAACTTCTCACTTTTTCCCATTTTAGGACCCATACTAAAGACTACAGCATTAAAAAACAACCACATAAATGATGAAAATCAGAAAATGATTATGCATACACAGGCAAAGTTTCAAAATAGACATTAGAAGACTTTAAGTTTACACCTCAGGCTATCCTCAGCACAGACAACCTACAGCAATCAAAACAAAAACAAAAATAATGACAAAACCCAGCAAACCGTGGTGAAGGGGGATGATCTGATTTCCAAAGTTGCCAAATAATTAGATTCAAATGTCCAATGTTCAAAAAAAAAAATTCCAAGGTATACAAAGGAACAGTAAAGTATGCTCAGTGAAATAAATCAACACAGACTCCCTGAAAAAGACCTGATGGCAGATCTTTTAGACAAAGGCTTCAAAAAAACTGTCTTAAAAATGATCAGAGAACTACTGAAGATATGGAGAAAGTAAAAAAGATGATACATGAACAAAATGGAAATATCAATAAGGAGACAGAAAACCTAAAAAGAAGCTAAAAAGGCATCTAGGGTTGCAAAGTACATAACTTATATGGAAAGCTCACTAGTGGGATTCAAAAGCAAATTTGAGCAAGCCAAAGAAAGAATCAGTAAACTTGAAGATAGGAAAATAGAAATTACTAAGTCTGAAGAACAGAAAGAAACAGCCAAAGAAAAGCAAAAACAGTCCAAGGGATCTATGGGACATCATCCAGACGACCAACATACACATTGTGGAGCTGCAGACGGAAGAGAGAGAGAGAAGGGGGCAGAATAGATATTTGAAAAAGCAATGGTTGAAAAATTCTCTAAATTTGATGAAGGACCTGAATATAAACCTGAATATAAAAATACAAGCTGAAGCTCAACAAACTCCCAGTAAGATGAACTCAAAGAAAGCCACACACACACACACAGAATCTTGAAAGCTGCATGAGATAAGTGAATCATCACAATTCAAGGGATCCTAAATAAGAATTATACGCAGATTTCTAGTCAGAAACCTTGGCAGCCAGAAGATAGCAAGGAAAATACATTCAAAGTTCTAAAAGAAAAATCAACCAAGAATCCTAAGCCTGGCAAAACTGTCCTTCAAAAGTGAGGAAGCTATCAGGACATTCCCAGGCAAAAATGCTGAGGAATTCTGTTACCTTTAGATAGGCCCTGCAAAATATGCTCAAAGGAGTCCTAACAAGGTGAAATGAATGACACTAGACAGTAACTTGGAGTTTATGGGAAAAAAAAGATCTCAGTGAGGAAAAAGAAGACCTCAGTAAAAGTATACAAATGGGCAGTTATAAAAGCAGTGTAACAATGTAACATCAGTTTGTAAGTACATTTTTTGTTTCCTATAAGATTTAGACTAACAAATTTAAAGATTTTAAAACACCAATTATTGGCATAAAGCTAGTTATTGTAACTTTAGTTTGTAACCCCCAATATTGTTTCCTACAAAATTCAGGATACTAACCCATGTAAAGGAAGTATTAGTTTATGTTTCTGGGCATACAATATATAAAGTAATTTTGTGACATCAACAACCCAAAGAGGCGAAGATGGAACTGTAAAGGAGCAGAATTTTTGTATGTTACTGAAGTTAAGCTGGTATAAATTCAAACCTGAGTGCAGTGACTGTACGGTGTTAAATGTAATTTCCATGGTAACCACAAAGAAAATAGCTCTGAAATAGACACAAAAGGAAATGAGAAAGGAATTAAAACATTTCAGTACAATCAACTAAACATAAAAGAATAATTCAGGAAATGAGGGATAAAAAACCAATAAGGCATATATAGAAAACAGAACAATGACAGAAGTAAGTTGTTCCTTATCAGTAATTACTTTAAATGTAGATGGTTAGATTATCTAATCAAATGACAGAGACTGGCAGAATGGGATACAAGTATATATATGATCTGATATGCTCCCTACAAGGGAGTCATCTTTGATTCAAAGACACAAACAGGTTGAAAGTCAAAAGATGGAAAAAGACATTTCAATGTAAACAGAAACCAAAAGAGAGCAGGGGTGGCTTCAGTGATATCCATAATAGACTTTAAATCAAAAAGGTTGTAAGAAACAAAGGAGGACATTATGTATTAAAAGGTTCAACTGAACAGAAAGATATAACAATAAACATTTATGCTCTGAATGACAAACCATCAAAATACATGAAGCAAAAATTGACAATCAAGGGAAAAACAGACAGTTCTACAACAGTTGGGGACTTCAATATTCCACTCATGATAATTAACAGAACAAGTAGAAGTAAACAGAGGACCGAACACAATAATTAACACTCACAATAAGTAACAGAAAATAAGGAAATAGGGGACTTAACACAATAAACCAGCAATACCTATTAGACAAATACAAAACACTCTACCCAGGTGCACATGGGACATTTTTTAGAACAGACCATATGTTGGGACACAAATTAAATCTCAATATATTTTAAAATACAACATCATACAAAGTATCTTCTCTGACCACAATGGATGGAATTAGAAATCAGTAACAAAAGGGAAAATGGAAAATTAACAAAATCTTGGAAATTAAAAACATGCTTTTAAACAACCAATTGATCAAAGAAGAAATCACAAGAGATTACAAAATACTTAAGAGAATAAACAACAACAAAAAAATACCTAAACTTATGGATACAGTGAAAGCAGTGCTAATGGGAAAATGTACTATTATAAACATCTATATTAAAAAAGAGAAATCTCAAATCAGCTATGTAAATTAACAACTTAAGGAACTAGAGAAGATCAAACCAAACCCAAACATAGCAATAGGAAGGAAATAGTAAAGGTGAGAGCAGTGAAAAACGAAATACAGAATAGAAAAATAGAGAAAAATCAATGAAAGAAAAAATTGGTTCTTCCAAGAGATCAGATAAAGTTGACAATCCTTTAGCAAGATGGACTATGAAAAAAAGAGAGAAGACACAAATTACAAAAATCAGAAAGGGAAGTTGAGATATCACTACCGAGTCTACAGAAATTAAGAGGATGATAGAGTATTATGACTAATTGTACACTAACAAACTGGATAACCTAGATTAAATGGACAAATTACTAGAAATGTAAGACAGACCAAAACTAATAAATAGAAATAAATAGAAAATCGGAAGTCCTACAACTAGCAAAGAGAATAAGTAATTAAAAATCCCTCAAAAAAGAAAAATTCTGGATATGTAGTTTCACTGGTGAATTATATCAAACATTTAAAGAATACCACTTCTCAAACTTTTCTGAAAAACTGAAGGAACACTTCCAACTCATTCTATCAGATCAACAGTACCCAGATACCAAAGCCAGACAAAGACACTACAAAAATACTACAGACCAATATCCCTTAAGAAACTGATTCAAAAACCCTCAACAAATACTAGCACAACAAATTTAGTAGCACATTAAAAGGATTATATACACTGACTAAATAGGATTTATTCCTGGAATGCAATGATGCTTCAACATAGGAGAAAACTGATCAATGTAATATGCCACATGATCAGAATGAAGGAAAAAAACCCACATGATCATTTGAGGCATAAAAAGCATCTGACAGAATTTAACATGTTTTCATGATAAAAACACTCAATAAACACGGAGTAAAAGGAATCTATCCCAACATATTTGACAACAGTGCCAAGAGCATTCAGTGGGGAAAAAGGGCAGTCTTTTCAACAAATGGTATTGGGAAAAACAGATTATCTGCATGCTAAGAATGAAGTTGGACCTTTACCTAATACCATATAGAAAAATTAACTAAAAATGGATCAAGCACCTGAAGAAAATTTAAAACAAAACTCTTAGAAGAATACAGGACAAAAGCTTCATGAGATTGGATTTGGCAATGATTTCTTGAATATGACACCAAAGGCACAGGTAACAAAAGAAAGTTTATGTTCACTTCTTCCTAACTGCATATGCAATGATGTCATACTGATTGAAATCAGCCACAGAGGGGGGTGTGAAAATGCTATAAATCATTGCCTTTTTCCCTCCCAAGAGAGTTGATTGTTAAACCTTTGCCAGCATATCGCTGAATATGATTTCTGATGGTAAGTCTCGCTAATTCTTTCACCTGCTTAGAGGCAAAGTAATGAAACTATCTCAAGAGTATTATTTCCTATACTTTAATAATTCCACAAGTATTAGAAAAGAATTAACATGTATCTAGGGCTTTTATATTAGCACTGAGCTGTGGCATTTTACAGATATTTACTATTTGTTACAACAATCATTTTGCAATAACCATAATAAAATTCATGATTAAACTAAGTTCTAGAATTAAAGAAGTTAAAACTGGTGTTATGAATTACTGTAGTT